CCAGCAGCACTAGTCCATATAATTAATGCTTGTTTAAATCTCGGCATGAATATGCAATTTGTATCTCATCCCAACAGTGTACATTTTGTACTGTGCATTATAAATGCTGTATGTAATTGTTTATGTATAAATCATTTAGTTTTTTGTTCTGAAGAACTATTTGTGCAAGGTTGACTTTTCTATCACAGATGAACGATGAAATTGGAAATAAAGGCGTTGGATAGTTTGCCAGGACTGAGGAGTCCAAAGCATTGATTTTCCTGTTAGAAGAACCATTAGTGAGAGTGAATATACAGGGAAAAGAGGTTTGGTGTCTGCCTCTGCCCTCCAAAGTTAATTTTCCTCTACAGAGGACAGAAAAAGAATTCAATATCCATAGCGTAGAAGTCCCTTTGTGCTTTTTAAAACTCACAAATATTTCTTCTAGTGCAACTCCACCATGACTGATGCTGGGGGCAAGGTCTTTATTCAGGTGACTTTCAGTCCTGGTGGGGAACCTTTTCCACCTGGCATGCTTTTCTCGCTGGGGGCTGCTGTGGGAATGCCAGTGGGGGTTGTTATTCCATAATATTCCACTGGTCCCTGACCAGCTTGGACGCTGGAGGCTGGGAGGGCTGTGGCTCCCACCATCGTGCTGATCCCTCCATCAAGCCCGTAGCCTTCAAGCAGCACCGGGGGCTGCCCTGGGGACACAGGCACAACCCCAGGATTTGTGTCAGGCAAGAGGAAAAAAACCACTTCAGTTACTGTCTCCCAAGAAATGCCACGGGAGCAGGGAGCAGAGGGAGTGCTGAGGTCTGCACAGAGGGTACTGCTCACCTCATGCCCCTGCAGACCCCATCCCCAGGTGGGGTAGTGCTGGCAGTAGCACCCTGCATCCAGGGGGTCACATCCTGCTGCTGCCCCGAGCCCCCACCCAGGTCCACCACAAGCTACTTGTTTCCCAGCAGCGTTGGCAGGAATTAAGAGCAAGTTATTAGTAGTATATGTAAAATCTAATTCTCAGTTCCCGTTCAGGAAACAAAAGACACAATATATTGCTTTTAGCTTTGAGAGTAGCAGACAGCGCTGTCTCCCAGCACCATTATCCATTGCTTAATTGGTTACCCAGGCCCAAGAAAGCTCATTAACTGCCTTCAGATAAGCTCTGAGAACAGGACTCACACCCAGGTGTGCCCAGGGGATGCTGGCATTTTTGAGCCTGCATCTTAACAGAGCATTTGCAACGACTTCCAGGGGCGAGGAGGCATCTCCACCCACCCCAGGTGAGAACCTCCATTGAGACTCTTTGAGCATTAGAAAAGAAACCTGCCCCGGTGCAGGATGCCCTCCCGGGTGCTCTCCAGCGCCGCGGTGGCTGTACCAGGATAAAAGATTTTGAAGCCTCCAGCATCCTCGTGGTTGGATCACGGAGAGCTTTTAAAGACAGCATCACACACCCAGCCACTGCAGATACAGGCTCATTTCCACATGCTTCTGTCGTTCACACCTTTGAGTGCCTGTTCCTCTCTACCTCCCATTTGGCAAATAAACACTTTCCTTTACTTGTCCAAATACAACTGAATAAAGTCAAGATGATCCTTTCTACAGGGAGGCTGGTCCTTAAAAAGCAGGTTATAAGGATATTTTAGTTATTTAGGATATTTTAGCAGCTCCCCAGAGTGGTGTTCCAGGGCATGGGAAGACTCTCCTCAGCAGCACCAGGCAGTGATGACTGGCAGGGCAGAAGTCTGAGAGGAGAAATGCCTTCCCGTTACAGGCTTTAATTTATCTGATTATAAAGATGGCGTGTGACAAGTACAGTAGCTGCCAGGTACCTGCAGGCACTCTATGGAGGAGAATGACACCGGGTGATGCTGATGTGATTAGACACGTGACAAGAGACCTCTCATGTAAATGCTGGTCTTGCAAATAACATCTATGTGCAGTAGGTGTTTCCAGATGTTGTTTGCAGGAGAAAATAACTCTGGCCAAGGTGAGAAATGCAGACACCAAATACATTATTGAGAGACAGAGCTGCTCCATGTGTGCTCTGTAGCAATTAGCGATTGTCCTCTGTGTACAGAGGAAACCATGGTAAATCAACATCCACTTTCCACCGCCACGTAATGAGCTGTGGTTACCGGGTTACCACACAGCCAAGCCTGAGCCCCCTGGCTGTACAGCTCACGTCTCTCAGAGAGAAAGGCAAATGGAGTTGGAAACTAGGTACTGGATCTGATTCGTGTCTGGTGATGGCAGGAGAAATGGAGACCGTGGAGAACAGTGCAAGGTGTGTGGCTGTCATTGGTCAGAAAAGCTGTCTGGCTTGGGGTGAGGTACCAGGGAGCACAAGTGACACCGGGCATCCCAAGGCAGCCTGTGGTAGAGGCTTCTCCTGTTGATTCCCACTTGAACAGAAAACTGAACAAGACAAGCCAGTATAAGACTCAAGGTTAATAGAATCGCTTCCAGCCACCAGAGGTGGCAAGAAGGACTCCAGAGATGGAGGCAGGGACACCCAAGAAGGTTTCCTGCACACAACAGTATTTCATCTCAAATGCCTGCAACGGGACGTGCAACAAAGTGTGATCATCATCCACAAAATGCATTTCAATCCCCCATTTCAAAAAGCAAAGCAAAGATTAGCCAAGGTCAAAGCATATCCACCACATTCCCAAAATACCAACCACTTTCTTGCTCCCAGTGTCCTCTTCTGCGAGTTTCCTCCAGCAGAGACAAGGACAAAGCAGTTGATGAAATGACCGCTGTCCTGGCACAGAAAATGCAGAGGCAGCAAATAAATCCAGTCCTAAGGAAGGTGCTAAAGCTTCGTAACTAAAACCTTAATAGCAGGTTTGTATTTGTGTTGAAATACAGGCGAGGGGCTGTTTGTGCCGTACTTCCCACACAGCAAGTGTATGAGCCAGCTGGGTCCAGGATCTCAGTATTCACAACTTCATAAAACACGTCGGGACCCATCCTGTGATGTAGGAGCCACCTGGCACCACGCAGAGCAGGGCAGCCTGAGCCACCCGGTGTTGGCAACGATCCCTGCTCCACACTGGTCCCCTTCCCCTCCTGAGCACTCCCAGGAGGCGCTTGGGAGAGCACAAACCAACCTGTGCTGAGACCTTTATGGACAGAGTGACACCAGGGAACGGGGACAGGCAACTGTGGTCCTGGCGTGTCCCCAGGTGCAGATGAAGCCTTCACGCCATCAAGCTGCAGCTGGGACTATGGACCCTCACCCCTCTGCAACCTTCCCCTTCCTGTCCTGCCCTTAGAGAATCATGGAATCGTAGAATGGTCAGAGTTGGAAGGGACCTTAAAGATCACCTAATTCCAACCCCCCTGCCATGGGCAGGGACACCTCCCACCAGACCAGGTTGCTCAAAGCCCCATCCAGCCTGGCCTTGAACACCTCCTGGGACGTGGCAGCCACAACGTCTCTGGGCAACCTGTTCCAGTGTCTCACCACCCTCACAGTAAAGAATTTCTTCCTTATGTCTATCTAAATCTCCCCTCTTTCTGTTTAAAACCATTACCCCTGGTCCTATCACTGCATTCCCTGATAAAGAGCCCCTCCCCAAATCCCACCTCCTGGCCTGGAAGAACCCATAAAGTCAATCCCACACCAACACTATGGCCACAAGCAGCCAGCACTTAGAAGTTGGTACCTCTACATACAATTCTGGGAAGACGGCGTGGAGATGCTGTTGCCCAAGGAGAGTGAATCTGCATCTGAAGGAAACCAGCTGCACCACAGAAACCTGAAAAAGCAGTAGTTGCCTAAGAGTGACCCACAGGTAAACAAGGTGCTAAACTGAAGAAAACGCAAGTGTTCCCATAAAAAACCAAATTCCCCACTGTAACAGCATGGGTGGAACCCTTTAAAATCGTGTATGAGAACACAACACACCCCGCTACGCCGCCTGGTGCTTCTCCAGAATGGCTCACTCCCAATGTCCCAATGCCTTGACACGAACAAGCGTTTCAGCGTCTGAGCCGTGGGTCTGCTGTTTGTGCCTGGCCGGCCTGGTGACCCCTGCACAGAGACCAGCTCTAAAACCTGGCTGTGATACCAGGAGATCCTTCTTCCATGGCTCTCCTCTCCCTCTTTGCCTTTGGAAACCGCTACCGGCCAAGGCCCAAAGCTTCACTCTGCAATTTCTCTTGACTCTGCCCGAAGCGTCACTCCTGCTCTGCCGTACAGCACTTGGTGCAAAAGCTCATTTCATGCAGAATTGTGTGGTCTTTTGCTTTAGTCTTTCACTAACAGTTTCCAACATCCAGTTCACCTGTTTGACTGCCACTGTGGACCGAGCAGGAGCTTGATGAGGACCAGTCATGGGCATTCCAGGGCCCTGACAGCCCAGTTCCATCAAGATTATTTTTCCCATTTAGTTACTTTGCTTATATTAACAGTGGATTTCAGTTACTATTTAAAATACCCCGTCAGCTTTTATTTTCAGTACCTTCAATAACTTTATCTCAGCAAACTGTCATGCTGCTGTTCACCGTGCACAGCACCGGAGCTTGCACAGCTCTCTGGAGCTCCGCAGGGAATGATTTAGGAACTGCTGACACCATTTTCCATGTAGTAATGATGTCAGGCTGAGCAAGCCAGAATTTCAGGATGCATAATTTATCAACTGCTTCTATTGATTCTGGATGGAATGGATTTTGGTTTTGTCCAGAAAACACAAGCTGGTTCCGGAGAGCGATATGTGCAAGCACTGTGAGCCAACCTTCAGCTACCACCCTACGACACACACCAACCCGTGGGCAGCAACAGTACTACAGCAAACGCCAACACGTAGGTTTTTAGGAGATGTGAGCAGCCTTTGGAGTAGCACAGGGCATGGCTCCCACATGGGGAACCAGCAGAGGCAATGTCCCATCATCTCACCTTTCTGCAGGGCAGCAGCCCAGTCCTGTATTGCAGCAACTGGGCAGCAGAAGGCAGAGACTGGGCTACGACACGAGCACGAGGGAGAAGGACAACACAGAAATCGGCATTATCAGGGAGGGAGCAATCAGTTTTAATCATCCCCTTTTTTTCCAGATCTCCACAGATGGTTGGAAATACTAGTAAATAGCACTGATGTTGCACAGACTTTGGACCAGCTCGATTACAACCAAACTCAAGTGTGGTTCTTCAAATCATCATTCAACCGGAGCAGAGCTGAGGCAACACAGGTGAGGAACAGCACCTGGTCCCCATTACCGGTGGTTGTTTTTCCCTGAGCGTAGTGCAGATTTCAACTTGACAGTTTTAAGTGTAAAGTCTTCCAAGTGCTATTCAGATCAGACATCACTAACAGTCATTTACACCTCAAGAAAATGATGTGCTCCTCTTTTCTTCAGCTGCAGAACGGACTACTTAAGCCTCTATCGATGCACTTCCCAGAGAGACTCTGTAATTATGCTTGAGATTTCCAACACCACACTGTCTCAGAAGCACAGTCAAGTCATAAATTACAAAATCCATCAGCTGATCCAGGACTGGTCAAATGCTTTCTCTTTGTTCCAGGTGATGAAAGTGGAGGTGAGAGGAGAATTGCCACCACTCAGCTTTTTACTTGGTTGCACCAGAGCAAGAGGAGGCATTAAGCCCAGGCACAGACCCCTCACATGAAATCCAACCCTGTGTGCCGGCCCTGGCAGGCATTTTGAAGTTATAATAAAAACCCCCTCGTTGCCCCATATATTTTCCAGTAAAGGGCTTGTTCAAAACAAAGCAAAGCCAAAAAAACCAGAAGACCAAGGACACAACCTACATGATACAAATGTCTCAAACAAGCTCCAAGAAATGGGACACTTGCCTGCACAAACCAACTCCCCACCTATGAACAAGCCCCCAGAGCACCAGACTGGCAGAGAAGGCACCTACAGCTTCCTCTTTCCTCCCCACCACCAGCAAGTTTCCACAGTCCCGTACCGTGTCACAACCCACGATCTCATCACCAGGTATTGCTGCTTCTCTCCCTCCTTCTGCTCTGGGTTGGCTGTCACTGTCACTGCTCTGGGACTGTGGGGACAGCACTGTGCTCCTCTCAAATTCTGAATCGTGCCTGTGACACATCTCTCCTAGCCCAGCACTTCCCTTCTCTGCGTACAGGTGTAGAAAATCAAACCCAGGGCTCCTGCAGAGCAGACTGTCTGCTGCACGCTTTGGCTACCAACAGTAGATGCCATTTTACCCACAGACATTGCCCACTCGCTGCCAACCTTACCCTTCTTGCTCTCCTGTCCTGAGGACAGGGCATGGAACCATTTCATCAGTCATATTTTCAAGTTGCACTTCCTTACACATGCAAGATTTTTTCTCTCCCCCAAAGTAATTTCCAACAAGAAGTGATCCTTACCCTGACTATCAAGACACTTAACCAGGCACTGGGTTCAAGAAAAGTAAAAAAAAAAAAGAGCTTAAACATATATGTAAATTTAAGCACACTGCTATTTCCTGATAAATCAGAACCTAACAAAGCTCATTAACCAGAGATACACACCAAAAAAAAAATAATCTACAGGTATCACAATTTTTTATTTAAGTTAGCTGAGGACACGTATTTGGCTCAGGATTGTTTATCCTTGACTTTAAAGAGACTGACTGCAAATAATATAAAAAAATAGAAAATGTAAAATTAATCAATATTTTCAAAATTGTCATAAATTTTGAAAACACTTGTATAAATTCAGCAAACTTTGTATACCCTTAAAGGGGCATCATTTAATTACCATATATAATAATATTTGAAAGCATTAGTACTTTACCCTAAAGTTTAAACACAGACATACTCATGAGGTGTTTAATTTCAAGAGGGTATCAAAAGTGATATGGTTAGAAAAATATACATACTTTTGCTTCTGGAAAGAAATATCCACCAAATAAAACACTAAAAAAAGCCTCCCCACTGAATTTTTTCACAGTTCAACACAAAATGTATGTTTATACACAGCTTATGCCATCTGCCATTTTCAAGAGACAGTCGAAGTTTCACCAGTGCAGAAAACCATGATTTTTCCCTGCTCTGTAGGCTGTTGGCTGCGCTGATGTGAGGTTGTTCAGGCAAGCCAAGAGAGGAGCCACACAGCAGTACACACAGCAGTACACACAGCAGTACACACAGCAGTACACACAGCCAGCCTAAGGCAGGCAAGGAAAAACCAAAATGCAGGAGAGCAAAGGAAAGCAAGTTGATCAAGAAAACGTTGAGAGGAATAGTGACCAGCAGCAAAAGGCATGAACTCTTGAGTGGCATGCACTAATTTCTACAGGAAACAAACCATACTCCAAGTATTAAAAGGACACTTTCGTGGTATTTGTCATGAATTTTAAGCAGTAGCATTAAAGAGGCCTTTAGTGTCTACTGGAAATAGCCTGGACTGAATTTGTCCCAGTGGCTGTGGTTTGCTGCTGTGCTTCAGTTGGTGGCAGTGTTAAACTGCAATTGCACACACACCGAGTCAACCCAAAGAAACCCCCCGCCAAGTTTTTAAAAGGAAGGGAAATAGGAAGAAAGTTTCCAAAGCCTGTGCTTTCGGTACCTGAGTGCAGCGCAGTGCAGCAGCCAACATAACTATGCTTTGATTAGTACTTGCTTAAATTAATTCTGGTGTAAAGAATGATTTCACAAGAGCAACATGGCACTTGCAACAGTGACTGAAGTTGTACACAGTGACACTTCAAGATCTGAAATCCTTTACAGTGTCCTTTTAAGTGTCAGCAGACTAGTACCTTAGCTGCAACTGAAAAAGAACAGAGGCAAATCCTAATGAAGTAACTCAAATCAAGAATGTTACAACATTTCACAGTAATAAAGAAACAGTCTATGGAACTACTGAACAGAAAAAAAGCATGAAGGATAATAGCAGCATATGGTTTACAGTGTTCACTTTTCAGTTTATTAATATTAGTGGTGCACTCGGCAATGGATAAAGCAGGGAATAAAATTCTGACAAAACTGGCAATTATCTACCACATGTCAACACTTAATTATGGTCCTTGTAAACAGCTAACTCCTTTTTGAACTTTAATTGCAAAGAAAAGAGTATTTACATATAATATATATGTATATAAGCACAAAACCAAAAATTAAGTCACATCCTTATCAAGGAAATTGCATTTTGAAGAGAAGAAAACATAATACAATATTAAATAGAACATGTCCAAAGATTTTGAAGGCATCATGTTTTTTATGTTTTCTTCCTCCATTCATTTCCCCCTGGATTTTAATAGACTAAATACTTCATTTCAGAGTAAATAAGTGGAAATATTATAGAACAGCTCCGGTAAAGAATAGCTGCACTGTTGAAAAATGCTCGAGGCATGGTGATCCAGGACTCTGACTTAAAGCAAAAATAAACAGCGTATAAAGCCACAGCAAAGAAGTGGCCAATCAGTACCATTGGTTTAGGAGACAACCTGTATTAAAAATAAAAAGATAAAACACATCAATAAATAGAATCAGAACGCACTCACAAATTTTCATTTTACAAATAGACATCTCCACTCAAGATTATACACTGCCTTCTGATTTAGGCAGCTCCAGTCCCACCATCTCAAATAAAAGTATGAAGTTGGTTGTCTTGGAGCTGCTACACACCCTGTGCTCCTCTCTGCAGCAGAGCCAACACGGGCTGCTGCTGTCTCTTCATCTCCAGGTCTGTGTCTGCCTTTATCAACCCCCGGGGGATTATTCTCAATGACCTCTATCAATTTTAGCTCTCGTTCCAAAAAGGGAGAAATATAAGAGCACACATTCCCCCATGTTCCAAGTAGTACGATTTATTGTGTATTCATTACTTTCTGAGGGATCATTCAAAACACCTGAATTGTTACGCATTTCCCTGTTCCTTATGCTCTTCCATGGGAGACCTCAGCCCTCACTGTCCTCAACTTTTCAAGCATGAAACGTCTCCATCAGCTCCTCTGCTTGTCTGAACCTTTCTAACTCCCATGCCATCTACTTTGAGTTCTCTCCAGCTTTTAATGGCACTTATGAAAAAAAAAAAGTCAACATCTAAAGACATAGCTTCTAATAAAGTTCCATCCTTTAGTAGAATCCTTAAATAATAAATATAATCCTTAAAATATAGGCTTTTGCGGACCATTCTCCCTGTGCAGAAATGACTGATTGGGAGCAAAGCAGATCACAGAATGATATGGGGTTGGAAGGGATCTCTGGAGACCATCTAGTCCAAATCCCCCTGCCAGAGCAGGTCCACGCAGAGCAGGTTGCACAGGAACATGTCCAGGTGGGTTCTGAATGTCTCCAAAGACAGAGACTCCACCACCTCTCTGGGCAGCCTGTTCCAGTGTTTTGCCTCTCTCAAAGTAAAGAAGTTCCTCCTCATGTTCAGATGGAACTTTCTATGTTGAAGTTTGTGCCCGTTACCTCCTGTCCTGTCACTGGGCACCGCTGAAAAAAGACTGGCCCCATCCTCCTGACACCCACCCCTTAAGTATTTATAAGCATTGCAGAAGAGAAGACTGAGAGGGGATCTTATCAAACTAAAAAAACCCAAGCCCCTCAGCCTTTCCTCATAAGAGAGAGTTTCTAGTCCCCTAATCATCTTTGTAGTCCTCTGCTGTACCCTCTCCAGCAGTTCCCTGTCCTTCTTGAACTGGGGAGTCCAGAACTGAACAAAGTACTTCAGATGCGGCCTCACTAGGGCAGAGTAGAGGGGCAGGATGACCTCTCTCAACCTGCTGACCACGCTCTTCTTCATGCACCCCAGGATGCCATTGGCCTTCTTGGCCACCAGGGCACATTGCTGGCTTATGGTCATCCTGGTGTCCACCAGGACTCCCAGTTCTCTTTCTGCAGAGCTGCTTTCCAGCAGGTCAGCCCCCAACCTGTACTGGTGCAGGGGGTTATTCCTCCCCAGGTGCAGGACCCTACACTTGCTGTTGTTGAATTTCCTAAGTTTTTCCTCTGCCCAGCTCTCCAGCCTGTCCAGGTGTGGCAGCACACCCAGTTTTGTGTCAGCAGCAAACTTGCTGAAGGTACGCTCTACCCCTTCATCCAGGTCACTGATGAATATATTGAGCAGGACCGGACCCAGTATGGATCCCCGGGGATCAGATCCTCCCAGAGGCTCACAAAGCTCGACCCAGCTCACATTAACTGTGACCCACACACTGAACTTACACAGACAGCAATCCTACGGGACCCGAGACACATTCCCCACCAAGTCTGAAGTAATGGAAACAGGCCTTCTTTAGCTGATGCAAGGAATCTGCAAAAGGAATTAAAATGACTCGACAAATATATTCAACACATACCAAAACTTTTCAGCATACACCACAGTGATATTAAGTCTAGGACTTTGGTAGCTGTTGTTCAGCTAAATTCAGCTGGATTTTGAGCTAGTTTTACTTAACTAAAGGACAGGCTTATAAACCTGCATATTCTTCAATGCTACCTGACACAAGAATAAGTGTTGTCTGTCTTTCTGTGCTGGTGTGGTTTTTGTCTTTTTAAATACTAACTCCAGACTTTCCTTCACATTGCTAGAACTCAGTTTACATAACACTAGAACTAAACAACTAGGTACAGAACACAAGCTAACTTATTAAAATCCTTTAATTGATATATTTTTAATATATATCAATATACATATATACATACACACACAAACACATGGATATATGCTCATACACATCCCCTCCCCAGGCATATTTATTTACCAAGTTGTTAGAGTCGTAAGTTATCTTTAAAATATATTTACCATCTGTGGCAGCAAAGAGTTCATAAAGTGCCTGGGCAAGAACATTCACAACAAAAGAATGAGATTTTTTTCTTGACCAGTAAAATGTCTTTTTCGCCTGCAAAAGGAAAAAAATAACAAATATTTCCATCACTAAATAGAGAAGAGCACTCAAAAGGTTCCCAAAGAGGTGGTAAGAGTCATACGCATGGGAAAACGTAAAGTGGATTTAGTGATAGACTAGTTGGGTTCCAAATTAGGTCATTAAGGAACTTTGGAAACTTGTCGAACCAGTTATCCAGGTTCCTCTTACACTAAATATAGGTAAAAAAAGGTAGTTCCAGGGTGTGCTTCATCTCATCCTATAGGTGGTGGCTGGGGGAGGTCAGAACCTCTAAGGATTAACACCCACGCAGTTCACTCTGTTGACTGAGTCAAAGTAGGAAATAACTGGAAGTCTGAGGTGACTGGCTGAGATGCAAATACCTGCATTTGGTCAGGTGTCCTGTGCTGTCCTGACTGATGTTCAGAGTCTCTCTAGGAGCTTCTCAGTTTCCAAATACACTTTTTGAATCATTTACTTGTAGTCTGTAATTATTCTAGCTGTCATTCAGCCAAGTCAATATGTTCTGGTATGATTTATGCATTCAAAGCTTTGAAAACTGCTGTGCCTCACTAATAACTTACATGTCCCCAAGTTGCCCAAAAATTAAAAGTGTGTCCCTAAATTGCAGCACAAGCTGCCTAAAATAAGTCCAAAATAAAGCTTTACCTTAAGGATATCAGAATCTTCATATAGGTCTGGAATATCCTGGAGCAAACATCTCCATATTTTAACATCATTTAAAATGACACTCATTCCTCCACCAGTTAGAGGGTGTCTTATATTATATGCATCTCCCAAAAGAAGAACACCTAGAGGAGAAAAATTAATGGGATACTGCATGACCATTAAGTAATCTTAGAACTCAAATCTTCTATTTTTTTTAAGAAATTAAACTTACTAAGAATTCATTCCCACCAGAAAATAAGATGATTAACAACTAGAAATTTAAAAAAAAAAAAAAAGGAAGAAAAAAAGAATGTCTTGAAATTAATAGGCTTAAAAGGGCTTTAAGATGATCAAGGTCAAAATCTTTTTCCCAATAGATATGCATGTGTGTGTCAAAGAACACAAACACACACACTTTTCAAGGTCATTTCTATTTTTCATCAAGTTTTCCTTAAAAAGATCACACTTGTATGAGCTTGAGCAACTGAATGATTTCAACTGAAAAATAAAGCAGGCTCTGATTTGGAGTTTGATATCAATATAAACATTGCAGTTAAACTATGCCCAAGGTATAAATTTTCAAATTATTATTTTTCATAGAAGAATTATGAGACAGTTGTATTGAAAAACAAACATATAACTATGACAAGAAAGCTGTAAGTCCCAGAAGAAGTTTATAATGCCTTTTTCCCTCCTTTTGTTTCATAAAACACACCTTTTTTGTTAACAGCTGAAGGAGGCAAGAAGCTGGCTGGCATGGTCCTTAAACGATCATTCTGAACTGCTATCAAGAATGGTTCCTTTAAGTGATCTGCAACAATAAAATATTTAAGTTATGCTACTTAAGAGTCTAAAATAATTTGCACACAACCCATTTTAACCTCTTTTTAGAGATATAACCCTTCTGAATTGCTGACCTCACAGATGTGAGCTGAACAAAGTGTTATTTGATGTTGAGTCGAAGAGCGAATTGTTACTGACACAGTAACTGCACGCATGGAAAAAGCCCACCCAGTTCAATGGATTCAATGAAAGCTCCTTTTTTAGTACATTTAATTGTGGCAAATATGGATGGAAATCTTTCTAGGCTTACCAGGTAGTTGTGGATGAATGTTCTCAATCATGTATTCTTTTAAGTTTTTTGGCATTTCCCCTCGAATATCAACAAGGACCCGAGTCTCAGTTGAGGAAATCTGATAAATTAGCACTGGACTAGTTTTAGCTAAAACAAGTTCAGCATAATTAGCTTTAAACTGTGGTGCATCCTTAAAAAGAAAAGAAGAGGGAGAAAGGTTGAGACTGATTAAGGAAAGGATATTAAAACTTCAGGTATACAAATGCATTTTCTGAAATACTTTGAAATAAAATCCCATATTGTACTAAGTTTGTGTTAGTTTTCTCTTCAAATTGACAAGAGAAATGTTTTCAAAGGAAAGTTCAGTGTAGTTCCAAGTCTTTTGGCAGCACCTTTTAATATTTACTAGAATATATTAGTCATATATTTCATTTTAATAACTCACTAATATTTAATACATGCCATTGAAAAACTGTAATGTAATCAAGGTAGTGGTTTTCAGTAGGATCATTTTGTTTTCTTCTCAGAAAGAAAGTAGTGTGAGGGAAAGAAATACACTCGTTTCTATACAACTACATTGAGATACCAACTGAGGAAGAATCACAGGTTCCTATTTAACTAGGTCTTAAACTTAAGGTTCCAAAAGTAGAGGAACGGGAGGCACCTGAGCATTGATAACTACAGGGGTAGGGACCCAAGAACTGCTCAAGTTCCTCCAATTGAGTGTTCCCAGTCTAGTGAAAGTTCTGTAGCTTTGGTTCCTTCTACTTAATTATTTTTGCTGCTAATCCAATGGTTACTGCAGCAGCTGCAGAGGGCCCGGCCAGGATTCTTACCTGGGTTCTCCAACCACCCAGCTACCAACCTCGATTCTCACTTTCTCTCTTAAAGTTGATAGGTCCTGAAGGTATATATGTACCCGGTTACAAGGTACCCCACCTTCAGGCAGGAGCACAGCTTGGGTATTCTTCTTGAGTATAAAACTGAGATGGTTTGACCCACAGCTGCTATGATGATCTAAAAGTCAAGATTTCCACTCCCTGAACAAATGGCATAAGTATTGTGAAAAAAATGAGTGTTACTATCTTAGCTACTGATGTCTTAACACAAAGCAGTCAAAGCACCTATATCCAGGGAAATAATTTTACAGATTCGGTTCAAACTTTACAATGGTGCCTCTCTCTAATCCAGAGATTAATGCTATATAAGATATAACACTATTAACACACATAGCTCTACCTTATATGAGATGCTGAAACTTTTCTGCTCTAAAAAAACAATTTTCTATAAACTGGTCCAGTGAGTCCAGCACTCAGTTTAAACTAGCTACGTTGAATCCTAAATCCAGCTTTTTAAACCCTCCCTTGTTCAACTATATGCTTAGATTAACACTGTACTCTGTTATTAAAAACAGAAATCCAGCTTTTAACAAAATGGGGTTTTTTACACCTGCCTCATAGTTACCTAGAAGCGTTTTAAGAGTTGAAAGCCTGATGTTTAACTGTAGCGAATATGCTAACTCCGAAATAACAAGTTGAGCTATCCTAGACCTGGGAGAGTGTACACATAATAATTTAGGAGTTAAAAACATAGGCAAAAAATTCCAAGCTCTCCTCAAAGGGACATAGAAACTGGTGTAACAGCTGGATAAATATTTAAAGGCATAGTCCTAATTGATTCTTTTGGAAAATATTTAATATTAGAATTCAAGACAGTCCTTAGAACAAAATGTCAATTGTTTCTTAAAAAAAAAAAAAAAAAAAAAAAAAAAAAAAAAAAAGAAATGCTTGAGTCTTTCATACAGACATATTCTTTGTGTTAACTTTTGTGCCTCTATTAATAATTATATTTGACTAGTCTTTCTTGCATAGATCTCCACAGACTTCTGAAAATTTCTCTTTCATTTTAAAAAACTCTGCTATAAAAGTCTCTTCTGTATGAGTTCCTATGAATGGGTTCTACAGGTACCTATACATTTGGATGGAAAACAAAACAAAACCCACTAAACAATAAACAAAGAGAAAAAAAAAAACGTATTGAGAAAACAGCATACAAAAGTTTCCCAAGGACTGACAAGCCCTGGAGACCAGCAATCCTGGGCAATCTAGAAGAGCTAATAAACTTAGGATACCAAGAGCCTGCTGAATTGGTACAAGGCCACCAGCCCACATCAACAACAGCTTGTGTGACACCACCAAAGGGTGGTGGCCACTGTATGAGACAGAGAACACAGTGTGCAGGATTACACAAACACCTGAGGTGCTCTCCAAACACCAGCTAGAAGTTCCTGGAATGGCCCTACGACCTGCTTCTCCTGCCTCCATAGGCAGGGTTGGCCTCCCCAGGATTGCCCAACCAAGTAGCTGGAATGTAAGAGTGAAGTAGGTGAGTGAATAACTCAACGTGTATGTGAATACTTACCTGCCATTAATAATTACAGTGATTCTGTTGATAACAACAGCTTAATGTATAAAAAGTGCTCTAAGAAATACTGATTGTTACCCTACCCCACTGCAGATACTCAAACTCCTTTTAAAGTAAAAGCAATTTACAACCTTACAGTTTGTATTTAGTATTACCTAAATACAGGGGGTGTTGGTATCACCTTCCAGTGATCTTCCCAAGAACATTCAGATGCTGCAGGGCATCTCTAAGACCTCAGACCCTGGGAAATACTTTTCTTCTCATTGCTCAGTGTACGCTACAAACAGCCAACGTACTAAAGCATATGCATGAAGGTAATGAACTTCAATATAACCAGTGAAATTCAGACCCGCATTGAGACACAGCAGCAAACTGGCTGATATGGTATTATACATGAAAGTTACCTTCAAAATGCAACCAACAAAATGGGATGAAACAGTAACTTTGTTGAAGACCAAGTTTTTTCTAAACTTGGAGAAAAGTCCATCAGCTACAACAGTAAGTGGTGCATGAAGTTCCTGCAGCATGGAAGAAGAAGGAAAAAAAAAAAAAAAAGAAAAAAAAGAGATATGACATTTTCAATGTTATGTCAGAACAGTGGGAAACAACTCCCAAGCCCTCATTTTCAACTGCATATTAGATGTCCTAGATGTTCTATTGTCCTAGAACAATAAGAGGACCACAGACCAAATTTATAATACATGTAATAGAAATAAATTATTTTTTTGCTTTTTGCTTTCCTCATCTTGATTTAACTCTATTTCCCCTAAGAGTTAGCTTAACAGTACACTCCAGCTTTTTCAGACATGCATTCAGATAACATAGTTATGGTCATTGTGTAGAAATGAGGATAGAACAAAGACAAGGAAGAAGAATAATTACTCCCTTCAGCCTGTAACAGTCTTCAGGAGAAAGAAAAAAAAAAAAAAAGGGAAACAGACATTTTAATTGAAGAGCCATGCACAAGCAACTAAATAGAAACAAATCGTTACAAACTGAAATGCAGTAAGTGTACTAAGACCTTCTTTAAAGGACCAAGCAGTGACCTCTGAGCAGTTCTTAGTACACTTAGGAACTATAAGCACAAATAGCGTATATAGACAAAATATAAAATATAATCCAAGTAAACTGATTAGGCTCACCCTGAATATATGCACAAATTCCTAATGTTTAACACACACGTTGTTCTCTAATATGAGCAAACTATTCTGATCATTAAAATATATTTTTGAGTGTTTTATTGTTATGGTAATATAACAACATTATTATACTGGAAAGCATTTCAAGGTAGATGTTTCCTTCTACTTACAGCTCATTGTCAGTATATTCAGTGATTTAACTGCAAATGGCTATAGATTTATAATGAACATTAGTTCTTGGCCTTCAATAATCTCATACATTTGCCATGAACAGAAAAAAAAAATATTTTCCTTTTAAGCTTTCAGGTTGTAAGTAACAAGGCAAAAAAGCTTGCTGTGTTTCATGAGTACTCCTGGAAAATATTTTGCTATCGGATGGAAGCACATGGTGAGCCATTATGTGATCAGTAAATGCCTGCCTGGAACAGGTTCCTCCACAAGCAGTTTTCTCCTGCGCAGGAACAGGACTCAGTCACTTGTGACACACGGTCCTTACATTGAAGGGAAGCCAGACAAAACCAGATGATCATCTAGCTGAGTAAAATAATACACACTTCTGGTCTTTAAGCTCATAGAAGTAAGCTCAGAAACAGTTTAAGAGACAACAGAGCTAACAAAACCTCCTTCTTATGGATTCGTGTCTCAGATGATTGCAAGCTCTAATTATTCATGCAATTAGAAGATGGTTACCTGCCCGCACGGGTTCCCTGGTGTCTAATTCATGCTACAGTTTTTCCAGTCAACATACTAAAGACCTTTCCCCTAATCAGTTGCCTGGCTTTGATAATTTGTAACTTTACTTTTAGCATACTGGCTAATTTCAACTTCACTTAAGAGAATAAAAATCTCAAAGGTAATGTGGTGGACAATGGGGATGGAGAGAACAGAAAAGCCCAAGTCACAACATAGATCAACCTCCTCTGCTTATGAAAGCAGGCTAAGGAATGCAAGCAGACTTTATTTTTATTTTTTTTGTTTTCCAAAGTAGTTTCCTAGCTGTAAAAAGTGATAGGGAGGGAAACACAGTTAGAAGAACTGAAGTTTAGCAGAAATTTCTCATACTACATTTCTACAATCAAAGGAGATCTAGGCCAGCAAATAATACAGCTCTTTCCAGTCAAAGAACTTCAGCATTCAGAGCAAAATCCATCCTGTTAGAAAAGATGTAGGCTAAGACACTGGTCACATTTACTGCTGGTCAACTAAGTCATACTTAACATTACAACAAAAACATCATCCATAAATGTGTAAAGCTGGAAAATGTATCTCAAAGCAAAATACGCACACGCACGCACCCCCCCTCCCCCCCCAAAAAAACCCAAACAAACAAAAAACCACCCCCTTCTATATTGCTGGATGATTAAGCCAATTGGATTTGGGGAAGAAAACCCCAACCAACGACACCCCCAAAGCCTCTCCCCCTCCAAACCTCCTGTCTTCCCAGTACCCATGTACCACATCGGTCTCTCCTAAACCTTTTAGCCTAAGTTCATGCAGTTTCACAGTGCTTAGCCAACAGCTTAGTATTATTTGAAACAAAGAACATTAACCAAGCCAGTGATGCAATTAAAATAGGCCAGAACTCTCTCCCTGTGCTCTAAGAAACGACTAGACAGAGCTATCTCTATAAATAGGCATCTATCTTCTTACTTTCAGACTCCTCAATCAATGGTGGAAGCACATGTGGAAATGTAGACCTCTATACACAGGCAAAGCACAAATCTTAATATATTGGTTTTTTCACAAGTAACTCTCAAAAGATTTTAAAATCCAGATGTTAATATTGAAATAAATAATGAACTGAGTTCTCCAGAGACAATGAAAGCAGAAGCTGCCCAACGAGTTATAACAAGAATTCCCATGCGCCGGGACTCTAGCCACTAGAAAGTAATCTCCCTTAATTAAAGCTTTTGCATTGTTGATAATTGCATTATTTCTGCACCAGTAGTTTTTAAAAATTATACACAAGCACACATATATATAAACCCTCTATTCTCTCAATAGTTTAACAAAGTTTGTAACAGAGACAACAGAGAGTTTGTCTCACCTTAGTATCTCCAGTTTCTTTGTCCTTGTATTGAACACCCACAACACAGTCATCTTCCTCGAGCAACTGCAACACAGTCCCCTCAATGAATTTTGCACTGAAATAAAATAGAAATGTTAGAACAGAATGGAAGACCATTAATGATGCCAACATTTCAAGGCACAAGGCACAGAAGGAAAACCAGATTTTAATTAATCCCGGCTCTGCTGACCCAAACAATTTGTTTAAACTTTACAAAGATGTGTTCTTGACCACTTTAAGAAGCCACATTAAATATCAAAAAGTGCTTGTCATTAATTTCAGTTCAATACTACCATTTATTTTGACACTGGAGAATATTCTAAATGGGTAGTGCTTATCTTAAACACCCTATCACTCAGCTAATCCCCAGCTGTGCTTCAGGTGCTCCATGGCTGTGTGAGAGATGTGGAGAGGAGCTGGACACCTATTAACGGTCAGAAACCAGGCAGTTGGGTGACCCTTCTCTGCTGAAACATGGGAAATGGTGGGAAATGCTGACAGCTCGGGTGAGACCTAACTGCAGGCAGAACTCAGGAGCAAGACTCAAAGTAACATTTCAACACTTGGCATGCACAGTACGTAAAAGTAAGGTACCTAATTCTCAGAGTAGTCCAAAATAATCTAACCTGTTTAGGACAGAGACATCTAGCTTTTCAGTTCAGAAATTCAGTATACACTTTTCTTTTGGGCACAATTTATGCTTTTAAAGTTCTGCTAATGCTTATGTTCAGAGTTTGAACTGAGCATCCCTTACTTCTACCTCCCACCCAGAGCTATCTGGGGTTCACAAATTCAATTTATGTAAACTCATATCCCTTTTTGAGTCTGAGCTGTTAGACCTGATCGCAGCAGTTCAGACTTAGCAGCCTGAAATGGACAATCTCTCTCCCTCACAAATATTTTTGTATCCAGAAGGAATTCCACAACTTGACAAAACGAGCTAAAGGTCCACATGAGAATACAACAGTTTGGTATTTTAGACTCTCAGAGGGAGCATGAGCAATTGAATTCATGTCCTTTTTACATGTCAGCACAGAAATTTCAAAGCAGATTGTGACTGGCTTAATTTGCTGGGCCACGGCCAGGTTGGCTGTACCAAAATATGAATGGTAAACATGTAAGCATAACAAAAACTTCAACAGCAAGGGAGTGCAGCAACATGCCAAGTTAATAGCAGGTGAATCAGAGTTCTGTGGAACTATGATTCTATCAGCTTTAAACTTCCATTATAGTTGTCACTTCCGTTATCTAAGGAAGTGCTCACTTGTTTTCCCAGTTCTCACCCACTATAAAAATAATTCACTAATGATGCTCTACCTCTTTCCTCTGCAAAATTGATTTTACTCACCTGAAATCAATTCATATTGCCTAGTACTTATAAAAAGAATACATTAATCACTAATAATTACTCCTTATATTTTCACAAGTTATGAGATGAATACTGCCACGAGGCTTTGTTTTTAAGAGTTCTTGATCTCTCCCACACCTAAATTTAACACACAGTTTTCTCTGCTACAATTAAAATGGAAGGCAAACATACACAAAAAGAACATTAAAGAAAGTATGGAAAAAGAGGAAATAATTTAATTCAAATCACAAACATCAGCTTTTGTAAGTTTCTGCTCCAAAGACTGTGTACAGCTACTAGAGTTTTCCCATAACTTGGACAAACTGGTGCCCAAATTTCACTGAACTTGAAGCCTCAACAAGAAGCTTTAGCTTTTATACCCAGTAAATGTGGTGTTCATTAAGTGTACTGCAGAGCCACTCCCTTTTAGTGCTAATTTTAATAATTCATAAGATATAAAAGGTATGATAAGAGAAAGCATTTTTCCACTTAAGAATAAAGACATGTAAGGTATAAATATGACAATGCCATGTGTGTTTCCCTTGTAAGCATTATTTAGGGGGGGGAAAAAAAACAATAAAACACCCCACAGAAAACAGCACCTAGAATCTATTATATTTCAATAAAATTTTCCTTCTCATCTCTTGTATAAAAGAAGGCAATCAGTTAGACAGGAAACACCAAACACCAATTTTTATTTCATTAGGAGGAGAAGGTGTCTTCAAGGTTCTGAAAAACAAAAGTCAATAACTGTTGGAAGAGCTACTTCCTTTTACTGCTCCTTTCTCGTTATTTTGCTTGGATTCTTGTTATCAGAAAAAGCAGAACAACATGCAAATGTAAAAGGCTGATTTCTGGCATTGCAGATAAAATTGGTGGAAAAATAAACGTCCCTGCTCATTGCAGCAGGGTTGGACTACATGACCAAACCATTCTATGATTCTAAGAAATGATACTAAATTTGCCACTCCTTTCTTGACCAAAGAAGTTCTACTCATTGCTCACTGAGAAGGTGTCACTTCTGTAAAATGCCAAACTGCAGAATCAGTAGAAGAGAATCAGCCCTTTATCCCTCAACTGTTCTCTCACATGAACAGGACAACACCTTGCCTAATATTTAAAGTCTGTATTTCTGTAGTTCAAAGATTAACTTGTCCCAAAGGCTAATGTACGACGTATACACAACTCATGAACACATCTGTGTGTGTAACTATAATCAGAGTGTGTAACTAGAGCTGTTACATTCTCCCAGCCTTTTTCATTGCAGCCTTCCATGTCAGGACAGAGTGAAATGGTTAAGGACTCTCCCAGATGCTGGGAATGGTGCTTCTGAACCCCTGGATCCCAACTGCGACATTCACAAGGTGACTCACTTGGACTCTGCCATAGCTGCCCTTCGGAGACCCATGATGAACTGGCCATGATGAAAAGACCTTCCACTGGCCACACGGCCATCCTCAGATGTTGGATAAGGAATTTCAACCTCCGTCTTGCTCTCTATGTCATGAATTATGTAACCATTTACTGTTTGTGAATCAATACCTTCCACTGTATCTGCAAAATATAAGCCAATACATGAGTTACAAAAACTCTTTGAGAAAGCTTAATTATGTATCAAAAGTATTTCTTTACACAAAAAGTCCAGTTTTCATAATCAAAACACACATATTGGAGGACAAATATTTTCAAAATGGCAGAATGGAAATACGCAAGTAATTATAGTTAAAATATTAAGCGCAGGTAATATATTTCCTCATTTTCTTGGCAGGCATGCTTTTTCTAAAATCGTAATTGAGTGTAGTAACTGTTGTATTATAGATATATTTACATTTTGAAATGCACTCACCTTCAAGACCCAGATCTTTAAGTGCATTAAAACCTCCAGGTTGTAACAATTCTCCAACTATCCTGTCAGGTTCTTTCAGATCCCTCTCTATCACAGTCACCTTTCTTCCATCCCTCGACAGCACCGTGGCCAAGGAAGAACCAAGGACGCCCGATCCCACAATGATGATTTCTGGATCGCACTGGGGCGATAACGTTGTATTTGTAGCAGTCTCTGTCAGATATACATCTGAGAAGTTTACTTCTTTTTTACCCTTTAGGAAAGAAAGCCAACAAAGTTACACGTGCCAATGTATCTGTACTATAAGCCCATCAGAGGGCTGACTTTGAACTCGTTCTACTTTGACCCAGGGGACTGAGAGCACATCAGTAGTTGGAGAGCATCTTCCAGTTTAGTTTTGTCCTATATGAAAAGAGCTGGACTCCACAATGCAACAAAACCACAAGCAGAGAAAAGAAAAAACCAACACCCCCCCAAACAGTATCAAAATACTTGCTTAAAACTGCCCTGCTGCTCACAGTCAAACCACTAACAGTTTCAGACAGACTAAAAGTCAAGCTCCTAGACAGTGAGTCAAGGCTGCCCCACACTCTTGATCTATAAAGTAACCTAACAATGCCTTCATACCAGTGAGCTGTGACTACACAAAGGCCTTAGCACTTTGCAATGAAAAAAAAAATTGATTTCTTTTTAGTTTTACTGTAAATGAACCTACCTACCAAAAAAACAGCTTATGCTAATACTCAGCATGGAAAAGTGCCAGCAGAAGCAGCTACCTGGGAAACACTATAAAGAAGTATTCCTAAAATGAGAACTCTTCAGACAGTCAAAGTATGGGCAAAATTACCATATGATAACATTTAAAACTGTCGAGAATTGACATATATCAATTACATATCAATTAACATATAAACTGGTACCTGAAGACAAACTACTTTGTGGTAGCTTCCTAATAGCATCTAAGTACACAAACTTCAAAGGGAAGAAAAGTTGTAAGGACAATTCCAGTGCAAACCTGCAAGTCATTTCTCCATCTGCTAGAATAGAGCCCAATTCACTCTTTCACAAATGGCTCAGCACTACAGTGCTGACAGTGGTAAAAATACGACTGCATCAGTGAAACAAATGCCCAGAACAACACTGGCACCAGGATTTCTAATGGCATAGTGTTGTGTTTGTATCTACGATGCAGCAAGGGCATGCAAAAACTATCTGAACTCAGATAAAAGAAACAGAGGTAAAGGCAGGCTTCACTAGAAAAAATATAATAATAAAAGTCCTGAACCTTTCACTTGCAGCCAAAAATAGTTTCAAGTTCTTTTGTGCAAGGGGTCAGTGCCCAGCTGAAAACACCCAGAAGCACACAGGCAAGTAGCCAAACAGGGCTGACCCACAGATGTACTGAATATGCATGTCCAGTCAAGAGTCTTAGATGGCAGGACTCCAGCTACGTTCCAGCCATGAGCTACAGCTCTTTCCACTGTCTTACTGCAAGTCTCACACTGGGCTCAGTGGAACAGGCTGTCTATCTGAGCTCAGGTCCTGTAGCTAATGTACTAACAATAATTTAGCAAATATTTTTCAAATAAATCTATCTGCAGTGTCTAGACATATGTGTTTTATCCAGAGATAATAGGAGGTTGATCACAGAGCAACAAAATGGATGAGGTCGGAAGAGACATCTGGTCCAAAGCGCCCTCCCCACCTCAAGCAGGGTCAGTTAGAGCAGGCTGCCCAGGACCACGTCCAGTTGGGTTCTGAATATCTCCAAGAATGGAGACTCCACCACCTCTGTGGGCAGTGTGTACCAGTGCTCGGTCACCCTCACTGGAAAAAAAAGTGTTTCCCGATGTTCAGAGGGAACCTCCTGCGTTTCAGCCTGTGCCCATTGCCTCTGGTCCTGTCAGTGGGCACCACCGAAAAGAGCCCATCTCCATCCTCTTTGAACCCTCCCTTCGGGTATTTACATACATTGCCAAGATCCCCCCTGAGCCTTCTTTACTCCAGGCTGAACAGTCCCAGGTCTCTCAGCCTCTCCTCAAAGGAGAGATGCTCCAGTCCTTCATCTCTACATCAGTCTGGCAACTGAGGATGTTTTTCTGCTAGTAAAATAATTATTTACTACAATTCTTTTTTCAAACGCTTACATTTGATTCAACTCCATAAAACCCCTGGTCTATCACTTAAGTAAGTCGCACTGCTTCTTTTGACATCCAAAACTGATGCAAAGCACATCAAATCAGACATCCAGCATCTAAAGACAAACCTTCTCCAATCCTTAACTCCTTTCTCTCACCAGGGCAGAGGGTCAGCGGTCAGAGGGAACAGAAGGGGGACATTGCACCCCCACACGCCATGTCTGAATTGAACCTACCTTTCTGGATTTGGGTTGTTCGACTTGTTGAGATCCTGGGGTGGGTTTTGCCCAGAAGAAGCCAACAAGCGGCAAAGCTGAGAGAACATCAGAGAGCATCCCCAGGTGGGTCTTCCGCTGCTGCTGCTGCTTAGCCCCCCTGAAGTGGTATCTGTAGGATAGCAGCAAGCCAAGGGAGAAAAACACTAACACAGAGAGTAGCACTTCCTTATTAGCATAAGTCATGAGGTCTCCACACTTTTTATACACGTAGATGAAGGAGGCGATACCCAGAAAGGTCCACATCGTGAGGGGACTGGTCACAGTTCCTGGTTGCTTCCTCCAAAAGCTTTCCTGTCGACAGACGCCGCCCAAGATGGGTTTCAGCACAAGGTACGAAAAATATACGTATAGAGACGTAAAGGCTTCCTTTGCGATGGGAAGGAGGGAGGGAGGTCGGGTCTCAAGGAAAAAAGAGGAGCTTCACAGAACGCTGTAGAGGAGCAAGCCCCACCTTGCCGGGCCACCACCGGATCCAGAGAGAGGTTCCCAAAATGCAAAAAATAAATAATCAATATAAAACGTCTTCAAATCTTCAAATCACCGAGCTCCGCAAGGCAGCGTGAGGCTTCTTCTCTCCGGCTCGCCCCTCCGCCCCGGCTGCCGGGAGGGATGCGCGGCCCTTGGCAGCGCCCGGTGAGCGAGGAGGAGGCGGAGGAGGCGGCGGCGTGAGGGGCCCGCCCCGGCCGCCCGTGACGCATCCGGGGCGGGGGCGCGGCTGATGCGCTCTACCTGTGCGCCTCAGGTCCCCCGCAGCCGCCGCACGGCGGGAGGATGCGCCTCTTCCTCTGCTTCTTTCTCCCCCTCCTCTTTCTCCTCCTCCTCCGCCTGGCCCGGCTTCCCGCCCCGCCGCCCGGCAAACCCCCGCCCGGCGCCCCGCTCCTGGCGGCACCTCACGGCCAGCGCGGGGATGCGAGGGGCGGGGGAGCGGGCCGCCAGATGGCGGGCGGGACTATGCTAATGAGCAACCGTCTCCGCCTCTTTCTAGGGACCGCGCGCCCAGTGCCTCAGCGGCAGCTGGCCAATCGGCGCTGCTATGCCGAGATGGCGCTATGGCCGGGCGCCCAATCAGAGCGGGGGGAAGGCGGGGCTTGCGCCCGCCGGGCTGCTAGGGCGATGTGACGACGGGGATGGGGCGGGGCGGGCGCGCTCGGGTTGCCATGGTGACGGGATGAGGGGGGAGATGCCGCGCGCTCATCCCCAAGGCCGGCTGCGCCAAGCGCGGGGCGGGCGGGCGCCAGTGCCTGAGGGGGAGACGGGCGGGAGCCGGTGCCTGAGGGGGCGGCGGGCGGGAGCCGGTGGCAGCCCCGGGGACGACGGCGGTGGTATTCAGGCAGCGGCACGGCGGTTTCCCGTGCTCAGTGCGGCGCCTGCAGGGCGCGGGAGGCTGAGGGCGAGCAGCTCAAAGGGCGAGGGGAGCGGCCACCGTTGGTCCCTGCGCTGGTCAGTCCTGAGGGACGGCACCGTCCTGCAGCCTGAGGAGATTTTAAAACATTTTCCAGGGGAAGGCCTTAAGGGTGCGGCTGCGGGACAGCCGAGGGGGCAGGGGCAGGCTGGCAGCCGCCCTGCTGCTGACTGGGCACAGAAATGCAGAACTTGTGGGAGAAATGGCGGGGAGGAAGATAAGAAAGAGCCTGCTGTGCCCCAGCCTTATTGACTGCGAAGGGGAATTTGGAGATTCGTTCCTGGGATGATTTGTATGTCTGGGCTGAATTAATCCTTTTAAAAAAGCACTGAACTCCCCAGAGGCCCCTTCGGTCCTCCTTTTTCTCTGGGAGAGGGACCTTCCTTGGGCAATGTACTTGTCGCAGCACAACGATATACAGCACAACAGGTCTCTCTGTTACAATAACACTAAAAGTAACATGTCAGGACCCCACTCCAGCAGAACTGGAAAAAGAATGAGCAAAACAAATCACACACAAACGGAGTGGCGCGCTCCACCTTGGGAAAGGCGATGGGATCCTTGCGGAGGCAAAATGGAGTGGATCTGGAAGAGGGTAAAGACTAGTAGTTTCTCATGCAGTAAAAAGGAGACTGGAAATAAATGTGTAGACTTGAATGAATACAGGCAAAAGCAGGAGCCAGTAAAAGAAGGGGTTTTGTGTCATTCATCAGTTCAGTCAGTTTAGGCTAAAAGTAAAGATCCTGTCAGCTAAAGGAGTCAAGCACAGGTTTTTCTATATGGTAAAGACATGGGTGTCATCCAGCGATGATGCTTATTCCTTCAATGAAACAAACTTTGCTGCAGCAGAGACATCCTCATTCATAGTAAAAACTTGTTCACAGCAGGAGCTGCTTTTCCCCAGGTTGAACTAGGGTTATTATAGCCGTCAGCAAGTTTTATATTTAAAACACTTGAGACTGAGCCTCTTAAATACATCTGCACTTGATTTCCTATGTGCAGTTTACTAATGTGCCCTGTGCCTGCTAAAAATGCCTTTTTTATGGACTGAGCTCCACAGAGTCACTCAGTACTTTGTAAGAGCAAATTAAACCGTGTATAACCCTTCTGGGTGTTTCATGGTAGAGAACAAACATAAGAACCAAAGCTTTTAAGTTACTGGGACCAACACAAACCTCCTGAAGACTATGATATGTCAATTGACATACATGAACCAATAACTACTGGAAATAATACCAAGTGCATAGTCAGAACTGTACCAAGAACCAGTGCCAGCTTCAGTGGCTAACAGAAAGAGGAAGGGTGTTGAAGAGAACAGACTGAAGCAGAATTATGTGAGTGAAGAAGGTAATGGTATGATGATTTCAGGATTAGAGTAAAATTTCATCTTCTGTTTTACTGCAAACTACCCAAAACCCCTCTTCTCTCCCCGTGGATCCTGCTTTATGCAGCTGTAAGGTTACTTGCATTGACTATGTGATAACATGTGAATGTAACCCACTACAGGACATCAACTTTCTGTCTCGTTAAAGTCACCCTGTAGCCACCACCTCTGAGCCAGAGGAGAGGGTGGTGATTCATGACTGGTACGGGAGGAGTGAGTGTGGGTGTCTCTGTGGCTGCAGGCTGTAATTAGATCTTATTAGGTGACCAACAAAACTGCATGTTTGTTCTCCTTCCACCCAAGAAATCACCCACTGTTGATGAAAGAAATACTCATGCAAAATGCCTTTCAGGATTATGTAAATCATGAGTCATTTTTCTTGATACTTATATTTGGAGCAGTTAGTGCTGGGAATTGAAGCAATTACAGAATTCTGGTTTTGACTGAAATGCTCACAGATGCATCTGTTGGAGGCTCAGATGTCACCAGAATATTTCCATATTTCCAGCCAAGACACTGAAAATGAGTGGCTCCTCACTAAATCTTAATTTACTCTCACTGTCCTGGCTAGGGTGAAGATCTTGACATACTTGCATTTCTTTGTTCCCCATAAGAGCTACCTTTTGTTGCTCACATTATTGTAAACAAAAGGTATTTCTGTAGATAGTTAGGTAGAGCTACTGATTTTTTTGCTATGCCCTTATTTTCCAACTTTACAAAACAATCTGTTTTTTCTTTTTTGTGTTTATCCTTATGTTTCATTAATCATCATGAGAAGAAGCAGAACCTGGTAAATGTTTGGAAGAAGAAAGCGGTAGGGTTCCTGAAAAAGGAGAAGGACGCTTATATGAAACTGCAGTTATTCAGAATTAGATGCTTTGAGCTTTGAAGCAAGAGGCCACTTACATAAAAAGCTGTCGTTGGTGCATATATATCAGTGGGTGTGTGAAGGACACAAAAGTGTTATCTTTCATGGGGTTTTATTGAGAAGTTGGGTGGCTTAATTCATTTTTCTAACAAAGTAGTGCAGTACAGTTTGCTATTTTTAAGACCTATCACAGTGAAGAACTATACAAGTATGTTTTTAATAAATGTAAAAAAAAACAGCTTAATGTCTGAGCAACAGCAAAAACATTATCAAATATATATATGTAATGCATGAATTGGAATTCCACTATGTATAAAATATTATGCAGCACATCATGAAAGTTCATCCTGATGACATACTGTACTTACAAAGTGTTCAAAGGGATGCTTAGCAGTATTTTCTCTCAGTGCCAGCAGGAAGATTGTAAAATAATTTGTCTCTCATTAATGCATAATTAGGGAATTAAAGCCAGTAGCTATTATGTTCTTTGCAGTCTGATAGTACAGAATATTTGAGGGCACCTCTTTGAGGGTAAAGCTGTAATGCCTGGGGAATACAGCCTGTAACTGAAAGCTATTTGTGCTTGAGCAGTACGGGCATACAGGCTGTGGTATAGCCCCGTCTCTCAACCCCAACAGCTACATCTATAAGCACTTGTTGCCTTCTTGATTCTGTTTTCCCTATAAGATGGGAATTACGCTGTCCATTTCTGTATCATTTTATCTCTTGGATTGCACGTTGTGATTTTCTAATATATTATCAATGGGCTTACCTCTTTTTCTTACTCTACAGAGCGGGCAAGGTTTCAGTCAATGATATCCGTAATCGCAAGTCAGCTGACTGGAACAGAAGGGAGGAAAAGGAAAGGCTAACTCATTATTTTAAAAAAAAATTACAGTCCTCACATGAGCAGTGACAGAGTTTTGTGTTTTAACCTGAGTTTGGAGTTCTGTTCCATAGTATGAAGATGGCAATATGGGAGTAGGGTTAATAGCAGACAGCCTACAGACACCAAGAAGGGTGTCCTGGTTTGAGAACCTGTTTTACCTCAAATCAGGACAAAGGGAAAAAGAGGTTAAAGAACCAGAAGACAGAGGCATGGTGGAGCAACATATCAATGTTGCAATGGCATTTATTAAGAAAGTCTTTCATTTTGTGCAGCTACACAGGTTTTAACAGAAATGCTGCCTCTGTGGTGTCTCTTTTCACATGCAGTCCAGATGGTTCTTTACAACAGACCTCACCTGGATCCTAGAGGCTGTTTCTCTCCATCATTTGCTTAGAGAGCAGCTTGTTTCTGCGTAGCTGGAGCTCAGATTCACCCACAGGACAACCAAGTTTGGTATGGAGCAATGCTGAAGCAAGATGTGCTCTAGCTCTATAAACAGAAAATCAGCTCTTATTTGTGAATTCCCATCAGCTGGAATTGCAAATTACACATCAACAATAATCCATCCATGCACTAGAATTTCAGAACAGGTGAGCTTTTGAGGGTAGATAGACAGGACAAGCCAGACGACCAGAAGGGAACAGCAGAGGCATCTTAGCATATAACAAAAAAAAATCTTAAGACACAGGAATTAATTCACATCAACTTTGCTGTGAG